CCACCCAGTCTAGAATTTTGTTTGACAGCCTGAGCAGACTAATACAGTGGGTAATAACAGCATCTCCTAAGAGTATGGTTAGGATTACCTGTGGCTCATGCAGTGCTTGGCTCCTAGGAAGCACTCAATGAATGGTAGCTATTTGCAGCTCAGAAAGAAGAAAAAATGAGAGAGAGAAAAGAGTGAGTGAATAATTATTAAGATTCTACTATATGCCAAGCATGCTGCATAATTATCCAACTTAATCCCCCTAACAGTTCTGTGCAGAGCACCCCTGTCTTGCAGAGGAGAAAACTGCACTTTTGAAAGATTGTGTAAATTTTCTAAAGTCACATAGAGAGTGACAGAGTTAGGAATCTGGCTTTAAAAATCTGTATTCTTTCCACTCTGCCATGCTGTCTACCAGAGTAGCATCCTAGATGCCGGAAGGTTTTTGCAGAGGTTCTGGATGATTTTCGCAGCAGACACAGTAAGGGAGTGGGCTTCTGCTGCAGGAATGTGTTCCTGCCCACACAAGGATGTTCACTCCCGCGCCCGGCTGGACCACACAGATGCCTGCACTCAGAGGCAAATATCTTTTCAAAGAGGAGTTTTCAATCTGCTCAAGCCCTGGAACCAAGTATTCACTTAACACACCAGAGTTCTATACCAAAGGCACAGGCCTCAGCAATGGTAAGGGAATGTGTCAGCACTCAGCGTGGCCCTTCCTTGCAGGGCCTGGTTTGAGAACTGCCAGTAGATGGCTGGGCCAGGATAAGGTAACTGCAGAATGTAAACCCTGATTCCCACCTGGATGACCTTCATGAGGGTCATTTTGTCTTCTGCTTTTACTAACGAGAGTGTTGAGTAAAATTATATTTTGCATATGTTTGCTTTGAAAGTACTCTTTCCAATAGTAATTAACCAGTGGAATTCGCTGTGGTTTTTTGTTTGTTTGTTTGTTTGTTTTTGAGATGGAGTTTCATTCTTGTTGTCCAGGCTGGAGTGTAACGGCACGATCTCGGCTCACCACAACCTCGGCCTGCCGAGTTCAGGCGATTTTCCTGCCTCAGCCTCCTGAGTAGCCGGGATTACAGGCGTGTACCACCACACTTGGCTAATTTTTTGTATTTTTAGTAGAGATGGGGTTTCTCCAGGTTGGTTAGGCTGGTCTCAAACCCTCAACTTTAGGTGATCCACCTGCCTTGGCCTCCCAAAGTGCTGGGATTATAGGCATGAGCCCCTATGCCTGGCCGGACGTCACTGTGTTTTAAGACCCCTCACTATTAACAATGAAAGCCTGTGGTTGGTAAAGGTATTTTTCTTCCCTTTTACCATGACATGTCAGTTACATTTAAACTTAAAGGAAGACTAGCCAGCAGCCCTTTTTATACTAATTGGTAGTTGAATTTAAGATTTATGGAAAGGCCGGCCATTTCTCAAGGTTTCTCAAGATGAGTTACTAAAGTTTATTTCTGATTTTGCCTTAAGTTTGAGATTTTCCATAATAAAATATTTTTTTAAATAAACATTGATGTTTTAAAAAATTATTTATATCCTGAATCAAACTTTAATGTCATGGACTCAAACTTTGAAAAAGCTTCTAAGGTAGAGAGACAATTACTCAAGTATCTGAACTTGTGAAATAGCAGGCTGATGAAGGGTGGATGACTGCTACCAAATCTCTTAGGTGTTTCTTAAATTTATCTTCGTAAGATAATTGTACATGAGGAAGAAGTACAATAGTACACCCAGAATCCACTTGTTTCTTGTGCACGTGTGGCAGATGCCATCTTTCAGTGCCCCATGGGTCATCCCCCAGCACCCACCACTGCAGACAGGGTGTGCCACTGGCTTCTGGAGTCCAGTGGTGGGACTCTGCCTGACCTCTTCCTTAGATCATTGGAGCCAGTTCTGCCTGTGGCTCCAGGAACTTACAGGTTTCAGATACTTTATTAGTTTCCTTCTCTTCCCTGTCTCACTTCCCAGTTCCTGCCAGTGTTTCCTGGGACCACCCCTCAAATACACTTATTATATTTGAATTCTTGTTTTGGATCTGCTTCCTCAAGGATTCAAATGAAGACAGCAGGATACCTAGTTGAGAGACCCAGCCTTCAACGTGTTGAGGAAAAATTTCATAAAGGATTTTGGAAGGATGTCCTGTAAATTAAGGCAGTGTTGGGGTAACACAGGCTTTTTCTCCCTCCCTTCATCCCCACACACTTTTGAGAAATCATGGAGTAGATGACACTTGAACCTAGCCTGTGGAGCTGGTGTAAGTAAATAGTTTGGCAAGGATCAGACCTCATGACTCCAATATTTAGATAAAGATCTAAAGAATGTTTGGGATAAGAGTTTTTAATCCATTTCCCATTTGCCCTGAGAATACTACTCTGGCAGCAAGCTGCACTTTTTCTTTTCTAAACAGGAAATGGATTGAATGGAATTTCTTAAAAAACACTTTAGATCATTGATCAAATGAATTGCAGTTGATAGAATTACATAATTCCAACTAGAAATTTGCTAACTGAATAAATGTTCACAGTGAGAATTGAGGGACAGTTTGATTTGGAAATACGGATAGTAACCTGTTGTAAGAGAGAAATAAATGTAACAGGCTAGCTTCTGTGTGATGAGATTCCATAAATAAAAAATATAGACTTTCTTAAGTCTGCATTTTCAGTGGAGTGGAATATTTTTAGTCAGTATCATTTGTAAGTTTGCCGAAATGCCGAACCTGATGTATAAGCCCTTTTATTTTTAACTACCCTCTAGTTTTGTTAATATGAATGAAAACTTTTATGCATAGTTAGTCAATTTTAACTCATTTGCTGTATCTGGGTTGTTAGGAGGAGGTAGAGCCTAGGATGACCCCCAGATTTCTCTTTGAACTGCCTGGGTTGGTTGTGGCACCAGTAAACAGGGTCGGGAATAATAGGTGATAAAGACTGGATTTGAGGTTGGAAGAGATAAGGAGTTTTGTAATTTAGGGTGTCTGTGGCCTGGGAAGGGAGTGGTGTTTGCTAGGTGTTGGATACCAGGCTTTATGGATGTCTTACAACCTGCCCTCTGTTCCTGCTGTACTCTCCAGCCTTCCCCACTGCAGCCCGTGCTTCAGCCGCATCTGACCACTCTCCGTTTTCATTGCTTATTCCCTCTGGCTGGAACACCTTTGTACCTCTCCCCTTCTGTCACCCAGGCAACTCCTATTTGAACATCTTTGGTGACAGAGCACTCACTATGAGCAAATTGTGTGGCATTAGTGGTGTAGAAAGTAGACTGTAGAACCAGTCTGAGTTTCAACCCCAGCTCCACCCTGTACCTGCTGTGACATTGCCATTAACTCAATTTCCTAAGACAATGGAGTTACCAGAACATCCCATAGAACAATTAAGATTAAATGAGTTATAAGTTTAAAACACTTAAAATAGGCTGTGACACAGAAAGTGTTCTCTAAATCTTTTCTATTATTGTTAGCTACTATCTTATATGACAGTTCATGTCATCTTCTATTTAGAAAACAATTTAATGTATTTTTTTTTTGAATTGGAGTTTCCCTCTTTTTGTCCAGGCTGGAGTGCAAATGGCACGATCTCTGCTCACTGCAGCCTCCATCTCCTTGGAGTCTCCTGCCTGAGCCCCCCAAGTAGCTGAGATTACAGGCACCTGCCACCATGCCCAGCTAATTTTTGTATTTTAGCAGAGATGGGGTTTCATCATGTTGGTCAGGCTGGTCTCGAACTCCTGACTTCGGGTGATCCACCTACCTTGGCCTCCCAAAATGCTGGGATTACATGCATGAGCCACTGTGCCAAGCCTTAAAGGATTTGTTGTAGTGGCAGTTTTACCAAACAGTGCCAATTTAAAACATTGATTGTTCTAATCTTTTCTAAATCTTACTATAAAAACAGCTGTTTCAAATAATTTTTATCAGGCTTTTCACCTACTTTTTAACCTTTAAATCACTTTTGTGGCATGCTGTAATCTGTATCCTACTCATCTTTTATGCCAGTGTTGGATTCATTTTTTGCTTAAGCATTATATTGGAGTATATAGATTATTTTCAATTTTTTATTCTGGTGGACATGCTTGACAATCTTCTTAGTTAATTGCTTGGGATTTTCCTAAAAAGTAAAGTTTATTTTATTTTTATACCTTCCATTATAAATTTCTCCAAGTGTTCTTTAAGATGTTTCTATAATTGGCTGGGCACGGTGGCTCACGCCTGTAATCCCGGCACTTTGGGAGGCCGAGGTGGGTGGATCACGAGGTCAAGAGATCGAGACCATCCTGGTCAACATGGTGAAACCCTGTCTCTACTAAAAATACAAAAAATTAGCTGGGCATGGTGGCACGTGCCTGTAATCCCAACTACTCAGGAGGCTGAGGCAGGAGAATTGCCTGAACCCAGGAGTCGGAGGTTGCGGTGAGCCGAGATCACGCCATTGCTCTCCAGCCTGGGTAACAAGAGCGAAACTCCGCCTCAAAAAAAAAAAAAGATGTTTCTATAATCTATAATAACCTTATATAATTATTTACCATATAAGCTCTAACATAAGAAATTTAAGAATATATGCATAATGAATTAAATGTCTTTTTGTAGTTTTGAATCTAAGTTATAATATATTACAATATATCAAAAAACTTAAGCTGAAAACAGTATTACAACGGGGCATGAGGTTTAATGTTTTTCTGACAGAAGTAAATTACTGTAATTTTAAAATTGATTCAGAAATGTGTTAAGTCGTAAACATAGTTAATCCTAAAATAATGCAACCTGTTCGCTTTTTCATGTAGTATGTACAGTTTAGTTCCTGGGAAAAATAACCTATTAATAATAAAGTCATGAAATAAACAAAATTGATGATATCTTTTCAATGGAATACCATTCCCCTTTCATATTTTAGCATATTTAAAGAGTATTTTATAGCACAATTGTAACTATTATAGATGTCCATGTAAGAAATTTAATGATTTGTTTATAATGATCCAAATGTCCTTTTTAAAAATCTTTAAATTAGAGCATAGGAAATTCTATACTGTCCACTGCACTGGTTACTTGAGAAGCTGGCCTCCAAATATTGTTGGAATGGAAGAAGAAAGGAACAGTAAGAAAGACAACAGTAATTTTACCTGCCTTGTAGCCATTGGAAGATTACCGCCATATATTGTTCCACAGAACAGTGGAGAGATTAATGTGAAACCAACTGAATTTATAACCCGGTTTGCAATGAATGGAAAATTTGTCTATGTAGATCAAAGGTAAACATTTATATGTTATAATGATTAGATTTCAATGGGATATTTGAAGCTATTAAGGACATGTCTTAGTAGCACTGCTAGAGGGGTGTGTGTGTGTGTGTGTGTGTGTGTGTGTGTGTGTATGTATGGACATGTCAGCAAATTTGTTTAAGCTAACATGTAAACTTGGAAGAGTGTCTCCTAGCCAGTTGGTGCAGAAACTGGGCATGGTCTGTGGCCCCGATTTTACTGGCAAAAGCTGGTAAGAGCGCAGCCTGGATCGGGTGGAGGCCTCATGCCTGGGTGTCTGTTCTGTGTTGCAGCTCTGGTCTGGGTCTAGGGCAGCCAAGGGGAGCTCAGTGCATGGGTCCTCATGCACTTACTCTCCTGGCCACATGTGGGCCTACAGTATTCTGGAAGGAAGTACACTCACCACTTCTGAAGTTTATTTTCAATTTTAAAACCAGGGCAACAGCAATTTTAGGATATCTGCCTCAGGAACTTTTGGGAACTTCTTGTTATGAATATTTTCATCAAGATGACCATAGTAATTTGACTGACAAGCACAAAGCAGGTAGGTATGCATCAAGTGGAATACATTTTGGGGAATTTAAAATGACAGCTTTCACTCTTAATTTCCCATTCCTGTGAAATTTGAAATTTTAATGAATCCTCACAACATTGATTTTTATAGTGGTAGACTGTTATGCTGATAATTATCTTTTCTCGTTAAGTTCTACAGAGTAAGGAGAAAGTACTTACAGATTCCTACAAATTCAGAGCAAAAGATGGCTCTTTTGTAACTTTAAAAAGCCAATGGTTTAGTTTCACAAATCCTTGGACAAAAGAACTGGAATATATCGTATCTGTCAACACTTTAGTTTTGTAAGTAATTTTTTTATGTTAAGACCTTTATATTAATTTCAAATGAGTATCTTTCCTTTTCTCCTCTCATCTTGCTGAATCATTAAAACCGTATGATCCTCTGGCCTTTTATTATAACTTGATATTTATCTTTCAAGTAATTCATTTACTATTCATTGACATTAGTTCTCAGAATTAAGCTGAAAATTTTTTTTTTTGTTAATATATTCCTCCTTGATATAATATGCGAGGGTAAAGGCATTCATTCAAACATTTTCTTCCTACCCTCCATGGTCATTAGGTAAACAATGTGGATATGGACTTCTACTGTGTACTGTTGTAAGAAATTGTTTTGTCCTCCCCATCACTGTTACCTGCACATCTTGTAAGCCTGGCGTGCCGCACATGTCTGGGTAGGCAGGCCCAGGATGGGAGAGAGCAGAAATCCAGCCCAGGTGTTGCTTAGCAAGCCCTGTTCTATAGCTGTGTTAGTCTGAAGGGAGAGCCAAGTTTTCCCGATTGTATAGTAGGCTAGGATGGCCCTGTTCTAAGTCTTACTTTTTTTCTGTAAGTTTCTCTTTGAAGTTGCTGTAAGGTTTCCTTGAACTAGTTGTTTTCTTATCTGCAATACTGAGTGAAAAATAATTTAAAAAAAAAACCAAAAAGTTTAATACCTCCAGTATTTCCTGTCACCCATCCCAGTAATCTTTGCCTACTTTTTATTACTATGTGAACTGAGAGTTTGTTACTGTGAGAACATGTATTTTATAGGGGGATGGGGCATTTGGCAAATGCCATGATACTTAGCACATTGAGATCTTAACAATATGTGTATATAAAACATAAATGAGCCACAAATTGACAAATTAAACAAGCTTAGTGTAGCTGCCATAACAGTTTCCTTCACCTTAGAAAATTAAATTACCTATGGTGTTTTTAATTCTAGGGGGCATAGTGAGCCTGGAGAAGCGTCATTTTTGCCTTGTAGCTCTCAATCATCAGAAGGTAAGTTTAGTTTCAGATGATGAAAGACTTATTACTGAGATATATTGTTAAGACTACTATCTTTTTCTGTCCTGGAGAGGGGAAAATTTGAAGGTGAAATTAAAAGGCGTTCTACAGATTGGGTTATAGGAATCCCAGCTTTGGTTTAGAAAAGACTAAATTCAATAGGAAACAGATATCCCATTTAAACTCCCAGAGGTACCACCATATCCCCCTTGAAATTTCCACAGTACTTTGCTTATGTTTCTGTTATAATCTTGCACTGTACTGCAATTAGTTGTTCATTCAACTTGCTTTCCAGTAGACTGAATTCTTTAAGAGCAGGAATGATGTTTTATCCATTATTCAGCCCTAGCAGCTAACATTGTTCCTTGTCAATTGTGACACTCTTAGACAAATTAATGAGAAGTATTAGGGGGAGCTTTTGCTTATCTGTGTTAGTTTTTCACCACAGGAATATATTAATGTATTATTTATAAAAATAAAAGTCTTCAGAAACATTGAAGTAGTATTGCTGTGGCTTTAGTGTGGAGATTAAAGTTGACTTCTGGGTTAGAAGTCATGATTGTGCCCTCAGTGACTTCCCACACATTTGATTCAAAGAGCATTATGAATTACATATGTAACACAAGGATGAATGTTTTCTAACATTTTTGGATGCAGCTAGTCTGTTACTTTTAAGGAGAAAAGTGTGAAATTATTTGAATTGAAAGAAAAAGTCCTCAATTGAATTTTTCCTTTTACTGTTACTTAGAGTCCTCTAAACAATCTTGTATGAGTGTACCTGGACTGTCTACTGGAACAGTACTTGGTGCTGGTAGTATTGGAACAGATATTGCAAATGAAATTCTGGATTTACAGAGGTAATGTTTTATTGCTGAAAATATTTTCAAAAGTAAAAATATCATATTTATAAAACCAATATACAAAAATCAGTAGTCTTCCTATATACAAATGATAGCCAGTTTAATATAATGGAAAATATTATCATCTTCACAGTACCAACAAAAAAAGATAGAAATTTTACAAGAAATAATCATACGAACATTAAAAAAAAAAAAAAAAACCTTTAGGCTGGGCACAATGGCTCATATCTGTAATCCCAGCACTTTGGAAGGCCAAGGTTGACGAATCATAAGGTCAGGAGATTGAGACCATCCTGGCCAACATGGAATGGTGAAACTCTGTCTCTACTAAAAATACAAAAATAAGCTGGGTGCAGTGGCATGTGCCTGTAATCCCAGCTATTCAGGAGGCTGAGGCAGGAGAATCACTTGAACTAGAGAGTTGGAGGTTGCAGTGAGCCAAGATCACACCACTGCACTCCAGCTTGGTGACAGAGCAACACTTCATCTAAAAAAAAAAAGAAAAAACCTTTAAAATTCACAAAGGTACATAAAAGCCAACTCAAATAACTTCAGATATAAGCTGTTTTTCAACAGGAAGACGGAATTGTAAGAATGTAGAAGAAATCATAGGGGCTTCAGAAAACAAGGGGACTCAGTTGAGAGGAATTGAGTTGGTGAGCAGTCAAGGTTCTTAACTAGCGTAAAGTCAGGTAGTAGAGGGACTTAAATAACAGATTTCTGCCCAGGGAACTAATGTGAAGGAAGCCACAATGCAGAAGATTAATAGTTAAAGTAAAAGGGGATTAATAGTAAAAGATTAATAGTAAGAGGGGAGAGGTAGTTTCTATCAGGCTAAGTGAACAGGTAGTGATTTTAAAACATGAACAAGGGTGACATCAGATGCCAGTTAGATGGCAGAATAGGACTTCCAGAGTGAAGAAAGCCCACAGGACTTATGGGACACTGTCAGGAAAACCAATGTACACGTTGTGGGTGTCCCAGAAGGACAGAGAAAGTTAGAGGCAAGGAGCTTATTTTAATAAAAGGAAAATCCACAAATTCAGAAAAGGGAATGTTCATTGAACCCAGGGGTTCCAGTTTCATGAAGCCCAAAGAACCCCAAATAGATTAAATATAAAGAGATTTTACCAAGACACATTATAATCAACTTCTCAAAAGTCAGAAGGAAAGGATTTTGAAAGCATCAGAAAGAAACCTCAGCAGTCCAGGAGAGAATGGGATGATGTATTCAAAGTGCTGCAACTAAAGAGCAAACAAACAAAACAAAAATCTCTGCCAAGCAAGAATACTACACGTGGCAAGGCTGTCTTTCAGAAATGAAAGGTACATGTGGCAAGGCTGTCTTTCAGAAATGAAAGGTAGATAAGGACTTTTCCAGACAGACAAAAGTTGTGGAAGTTCATCATCATGAGATGTGCCTTACAAGAATGCGAAAGGGAATTCTTCACATTAAACTGAAAGGGTGCTAACAAACAAATGAAAAGTGTAAAACTTTCTGTAAAGGTAAGAATACATTCAAATTCAGAATACTCTAATACTGTAATGATAGTACATAAATCACTTTGAATTCTTATAAAAACGTTAAAAGACAAAAGTATTTAATTATAGCTACAATAATTTGTTAATGAATATATGACATGGAAAAGATAAATTGTGACATCAGTAACATAAAATGTGGAGAGAAAGTGTGGAGTTCTTATGTGCAGCTGAAGTTAAATTATCACCTTAAAATGTCCTGTTATAATGATAAGGTATTTTATGTAGACCTCCTAATAACTACAAATAAGTTCTTTTTCACAAAAGAAAAAGAAAAAGGAATCAAAGCATACCACTACAAAAAAATCATCAAATCACAAAGGAAGACAGTAAGAAGAATAGAACAAAGGAACTACAAAACAGACAGAGAACAGTGAACAATATGGCCTAGTAGGCACTTTACTATCAGAAATTACATATGAATGGATTAAATTATTCAATCAAAGACAGACTGGCTGAATGGATGTAAAAAACAAGATCCAACTGTATGCTGCCAACCAGTGACTCAATTTAGTTTTAAGGACACACATAGGTGAAGGGTTGGAAAGTGAAGGGATGGAAAAAGATATTCCATGACCAAGACAGAGTAGGGGTGACCATACTTACGTTAGACAAAATAGATGTTAAGTCAAAAGCTAAGCTGGGCATGTTGGTGCACACCTATAGCACCAACCACTTGGATGGCTGACAGGAGGATCACTTGAGCCCAGTGCAAGGCTGTAGTGCACTATTATCATGTCTGCGAATGGCCACTGCACTCCAGCATGGGCAACATAGCAAGACCCCGTCTTTAAAAAAAACACAACACACAAACCCTGCAAAACTGTCATGATTCAAAGAAGCTCATTATGTAATGATAAAGGGGTCAATTCAAGAGGATATAACAATTGAAAATGTATATGCACTCAACATTGGAACACCTAAATGTATAAAGCAAATATTAACCAAATTGAAGGGACACGTATACAGCAATACAATATTAGTAGGGGACCTCAAAACCTCAGTTTCAGCAATGTATAGAGCATTCAAACAACATCAATATGGAAACGGTGGACTTGAACGACACTAAAGACATGAACACTTCATCCAATGGCAGCAGAATACACGTTCTTTTCAAGTGCAGATGGAACATTCTCCAGGATAGGTCATATATTTGACCACAAAACAAGTCTTAAACAATTTAAGAACATGTAAATCATACCAAGTACCTTTTCTGGCCACAGTGTTATGAAACTGGAAGTCAATAACAAGAGGAAAACTGGAAAAGTCACAAATATGTGGAATTTAAACCACACATACCTGAATAACCAATGAGTCAAAGAAAAAAATCAAAGGGGAAATTTAAAAACTTGAGACAAATAAAAATGGAAACACAACATATTAAAACATATGGAATGCAGTAAAAAGCAATTCTAAGAGGGACGTTTATAGCAGTAAATATGTTTGTTAAGAAAAAAAAACCCTAGCTTTACGCCTCCAGAACTAGGAGAACAAACTAAATCCAAAGTCAACAGAGGGAAGGAAATTATCAGAGCAGAAACGGATTAAATCAAGATTAAAAAAAAACAATAGAAATGACTGACGAAACTGAGATGGGTTTTTGAAAAGATAAAATTGATAAACCATTAGCTAGACTAAGAAAAAAAGAAGTCTCAAATTATAAACAGTGATAACATGAGTGAACCCACAGGACATTATGCTAAGTGAAATAAGCCACACAGAGTGAAGTGTACTGCATCACCTCTTATGTGCAGAATGTCAGGGGGAAAAAAAGCTGACTAAATAAAAATAGAGTAGGTAGGTGTTCACCAGAGGCAGGGAGGGCATGGGAATGGGAAGAAGTAAATCAAAAGGTACAAATTTGCCATTAGGTATAATGAATAAGTCTACCAATGGAATGTGCCGCATGAGAACTAACTATAGTTAATAATGTTATACACTGAAGATTTGTTAGGAGAGTAGGTTTTAGGTGCTGTCAACGTACACATACACACAGATAACTGTGGGGGGTGATGGATATGTAAATTTATTTAACTGCAGCAATCATTTTACTATGTATATGTACATTAAACCATTGTATTTTACACCTCAATGTCAACTGCCTTCTTGGGAACACATAAAGACTTAAGATTGTGCGTATACCATTTTGTTCTTTATGTATGTGTTTCATTGATTTTTACCTGAGAATGACCTATTATAGTAAAAATATGGCACATTTTCCACTTTAAAAAGGTTCCAAAATGTTAGCAAATCTTCCCTTACTCTCATTTCTGCCATTTAGTATCTTGAGGAGGAGCTGATTTTTGACACCAGCGCCTGTTTGAAACTGTGCTTTGTTATTCTACTATTTTACCACATGCTGTTTTGACAGGTGATACAATTTACTCAAGAGTTTTTACCTCAGAGCTTTATTTTTCTATTTACTATGGAGTGTTTTTCAGCATTCCAGAGTCACAAATAAGTCTGGCACCTAGTAAGTCAATCTAAATGTGAAAACTGCTATGATACTTGGTTTGAATTTCCTCAGTATATTTTTATCAGTAGATTATTATGTATTTAGAGGAGAAAATTTCCTTCTAAAATATGTAAAAATAAAAAATGTTTTCTGTATCACTTTTTAAAGGTTACAGTCTTCTTCATCCCTTGATGATTCAAGTCCAACAGATTTAATGAAAGCTACTCATACCATAAACTGCAGGAATGTAAGTATACTTGCAAAATGAGAATATTCATGAAATAAATGAACAATAAAATTTGTTCCTTGTTAATTATTTCTTTTAAGAAAAGAAGACATTCTGTCACAAAAAAAAGAAAATGAACTCATTTTGGCCACTCAGTGATGTTTATGTGACTTTGTTAAATAGTAGTTAAGAGTGAAGTTGTTGGAAGCCCATTATCTGAGTCCAAGTTATGACACTTACTGGGACGTAACCTTGGGCTTGTTACTTAAACTTTCTGTGCCTCAATTTTCTCATTCACAAAGTAGAAATAATAATATCACTGATCTCCTAGAGGAGTGTGAGAATTAAGTGCTTAAATACACAAACAAAAACTCTTAGAACAGTGCTGAGCACACAGTAAGTGCTCAATAAATGGTAGCTCTTATTATTGTTATTAAATAGGTTCCAATTCAGTAGATTAAATGTACACCTTGAGCTTTGAAAAACAGGTTAAAAAAATAGAAGCCACAAGATAAATACATATATTACTTAATTCACTTGAACAGATACTAGCTATTTAAATGCATTATTGTATATACAAAAATTACTAAACTTAGTGCTACAGAAGACTAAAATACAATATAATTCTAATTTAGCACAGACAACAAAAAGCTCTAAAGCAGGTATGTAAATCAAGCAGTGTAAGACTACAGGAGAAAAGAGAAATTTTATCGGACTAGGACAAACAGAAACTTGAAAATACAAATATCAGAGCCAGGCATGGTGGCTTGTGCCTATAATCCCAGCTACTCAAGAGGCTGAGACAGGATGATCACTTGAGGCCAGGAGTTCAAGACCAGCCTGGGCAACATAGTGAGACCTCCTTTCTAAAAAAGATTTTTTGAAAAACTAGCCAATCGTGGTGGTACATGCCTGTAATCCCAGGTACTCCAAAGGCTGAGGCAAGAGGATCACTTGAGCCCAGAAGTTTGAGGCTGGAGTGAGCTATGATCACACCACTGCACTAGCCTGAGCAGCAGACTGCAACTGTGTAAAGAAAAAAGAAAAGAAAAAAAAAATATATATATATACATATATATATATAATGTCATTTTACACAAATATCATTTCTTCTACTTTATTATTCATTTATTCCTACAGTTAGCACATGTTTATTGGGTATCCATTTTGTGCAAGGTAGTATGTGAGAAACAGATTTAGGTCGTAGTAAAAATGTCTAAGTAGTATACGTTATGTAGGCATTCTATAGATAAAAGTATATCAACTGAATAAGACAATATAGGCAAATGATTTCCTATTTTATGAGCTACATGGATTATTAGATTGTTTGGCCTGCAACTGTATAACAGTATAAGAACTTTTCAGTAACAGCATTTGGTTTAATGTTTCCCACTCCAAAGAAGTATTTCTCATAGTAGTTTTATATAAAGTATAGTTTTGCCATCATTTTATAAAAACAGAAATAACTTTGACCCCAAGCATTTGTGGTCATGGACTTCTTCATCCAAAACTTTTCCTTACATATGTACCTTCAGTTATGGCTCTTAACAATGCAGGCTTTGGAGTCAGGTAGACTTGAGTTAGAATCATGGCTTCAACACCTTGGGCAAGATATTATCCTCTTCAGGCTTCAGATTCATGATCTGTAATACAGCTGCCTCCCGATATCTGAGAAATGAGATGAGACAATGCAGGTGGAGAGCTTGGCACATGGTACTTGGGAAAAGCAAGCTTCCATATTGACGGTGGTAGTTGTGGCACTGACAGCAGGCCCGTGTCTGATAACTGCAAAAAGGTATTTATCTTATTCTAGTAGGAACCTCACTGTTTATTACTCTGGCTGTCTTTTCAGATGTCAAATAAGGAGTTGTTTCCACCAAGTCCTTCTGAAATGGGAGAGCTAGAGGCTACCAGGCCAAACCAGAGTACTGTTGCTATCCACAGCCATGAGCCACTTCTCAGTGAGTTTTCTTTGGGAACTGCTGAACATTTTGTTTATCAAAACTGCCTTCTTAATCATGTTTTTGGGCACAGAAATTTTCTAGAGAAGCAGATAGTTTTAAAACTAAGATTTTTCTCAGTTGAGCACAATGGCTCACACCTATAATCCCAGCACTTTGGGAGGCCAAGGCAGGCGGATTGCTTGAGGCCAAAAGTTCAAACCAGCCTGGCACACATAGCAGCAACACATCTCTACAAAAAAAAAAAAAAAAATTGTTTTAGTTAGCTAGGCATGGTGGCTCATGCATATAAAACTAGCGACTCAGGAGGCTGAGGCAGGAGGATTGCTTGAGCCTAGGAGTCAAGGCTGCAGTGAGCTGTAATTACAACACTCCAGCCTGAGTGACAGAGTAAGACCCTGTCTCAAAAAGAATAAGTAAATAAATAAATATTTTTTTCATTCAAAATTCTAAATAATAATTATACTGGATCTTAAAATGGATGCTACTTAATGGTCCTGTCATTAAGAATTCAGTTATCAATGGAATCAGCTATGAGTATTGGTAAATATACAATTTAAATAAAACCAGGGTATTTCTATCTAGGAAAAAAAGGTGTATTCTCAAGAATGACCAAGAATTCATAAAGGATACAAGACATAAAATGTTTAAGATGTAATCATTCATTTTAACAATGTTTATGCAAAGTTCAGATCAAGTAAATTGAGTGACATGGTATTTTAGTCTGTTTTGTGTTTCCATAACAGAATACCACAGATAGGGTAATTTGTAATAAACAGAAGTTATTTGGCTCACAGTTCTTGGTACTGGGAAGTCTAAGAGCATAGTGCAGGCATCTTGTGAGGACCTTCATGCTTCATCTTACCATGGTAGAAGGCAGAAGGGTAAGAGAGGGTGAGAGCAAGAAAGCAAGACATGGCCAAACTCACTTTTTATTTTTTATTTTTTTCCGAGACGGAGTTTCGCTCTTGCTACCCAGACTGGAGTGCAATGGCGTGATCTCGGCTCACCACAACCTCCGCCTCCTGGGTTCAGGCAATTCTCCTGCCTCAGCCTCCTGAGTAGCTGGGATTACAGGCACGCGCCACCATGCCCAGCTAATTTTTGTATTTTTAGTAGAGACGGGGTTTCACCATGTTGACCAGGATGGTCTCGATCTCTCGACCTCGTGATCCACCCGCCTCGGCCTCCCAAAGTGCTGGGATTACAGGCTTGAGCCACCACACCCGGCCAAACTCACTTTTATAACAATCCCACTCTTGCGATAACTAACCCACTCCCATGATAATGACAGTTCATTTATGAGGATATCCAAGTTCCTTCAAGTCCTCATGACCTAATTATCTCGTATCAGGCCTCAATTCTCAACACTATTGCATTGGGATTAAGTTTCCAACACATGAATTTGAGTGGACAAATACAAACCATTGTATATAGTTTCATATCTTCCATGACTGACATTGCTCTGCTAAAGCATACACTAAAGACAAGCAATGGACTTGAAGGAACTTCGATATCCACTTTAAACACACATAGAGCAATATATGTATTATCTGAAGTTCCATTGTACTTTGACACATATATAAAACCTTTGGTTAATCTTTATCTGCATTTTAACCGTTAATTTCTAAAACCTCTTATCTCTAAATTAATTCTCATCTCCATGGTTCCTACTTATTTCTTTTTTCAATAAAAATTTGATTTCTATCCCTTTTGTAAGAAAATTTCAAATTTTTAGAAGATGCTTTTTGTCCCTGGCTTCTCATTTTAGTATTAAACACATAGTGTTTTTTTAACAAGCAGATTAAATTCTCTCTTTCCAAGGTTTACACACACACACATACACTCAACCCCGAGCTCCCTTCCAAGTCTCTGAGAATCTATACGCTGTAGCAGTGTAATTTCCTGTTAGAAAACTCAAAGATAGCTGACTTCTTTGTAGCAGGTGAATTAGGTGCAATTTGTCTGACAGAAGATTGTTATAAAAGTAGATAACCCATTTAAAAATATATCAGCCTTCTGCAGCTTAAGATATATACTTTGCCTTCAAGAATACATTGTATGATATTCTAGTCTTGCTTTGCCATTTTTTATGACAATCATTCTTTAACCTCTAAATGTGTGAAATGTATGACTTTACTGATTACCTTTACTTACACAGGCCTGTATTTTAATTCATAGGTGATGGTGCACAGTTGGATTTTGATGCCCTATGTGACAATGATGACACAGCCATGGCTGCATTTATGAATTACTTAGAAGCAGAAGGGGGCCTGGGAGACCCTGGGGACTTCAGTGACATCCAGTGGACCCTCTAGCATTTGATTTTTGATTCCAAAAATGAGAAACATTTTAAAGCATTTCATTTATGAAAAACTTTCTGAACTATTCCTCAGTACTGTATTGATATTATTTGTATCTTTTATTAATGATCTACCAGTTTTTATAGATTTGCATCTTACTGTCACAGGGATGTGAGGAAAAATGTTTTCCTCCCAAGAGAACCAGAGTCTATTATAGACTCCTTTATTCAGTGAAATGGCTTATAAGCCACTAATTGCCATATTTTTGCTAAAACATTTCTAACCAAGAATACTACTTACATATTGTTTTGGCTTTGTTTTATTTTTGATGCAGTTTTTTTGAGTCAAGGTAATGTAATATATTGATATTTTTTCTTTGTGTCTAAGATTCATTTATAATAGTGGGTTTGTATGATTTGGAACATTTTCCATTCCTTGTGAATTTCCTTAATTGAGGATAGGGCTTAAACACTTTAAGAAAACAGTGAGTACTTGAACATTTAAAGGGACAGTGCAATTTATAGTCGTAATCACATTAAATACTGTATTTGGTCTTTGGAGACTTAGGCAAGCACAGAGCCGGGATATTTATGCTCACTTGAGCACTTTAAGGTGAATTAAAAGTGAGATGATTTTTTTACCTAAAACTCAGAAAAAGTCAGAAGAGTTTCAGCTTTACTTATGGAAAAGGAAGGCTCTTGGGCCCTAGATCTTGGGGATTAACCTTTGCATGTAAGATTTAATAGGCCAAATGCCTGTAATCCCAGCATTTTGGGAGTTGGAGGCAGGCAGATCACTTGAGGTCAGGAGTTCAAGACCAGCCTGGCCAATATGGTGAAACCCCGTCTCTGCTAAAAATACAAAAAAAAAAAAAAATTACCCAGGCATGGTGGCACACACCTGTAGTCCCAGCTACTTGGGAGGCTGAGGTGAGAGGATCACTGGAACCTGGCAACAGAGGTTGCAGTGAGCCTTACCACTGCACTCCAGTCTGGGCAACAGAGTGAGACTTTGTTTCAAAAAAAGATTTTTACTTTTAATGTAACCACTGAAGATTTCCATTATAGATAGAATAGGTGTTTGACATTGAAAACATACTTAAGGATAGATTCGTCCTAAAGGAAAAAAATAGATCTGGGCAGGTTAAATGTCTTGTGTAAAGTTACACATTAAATTCGTAGAGTTTTAAATGTTTATTGTATATAAACCAGTTTCTTTACACACATTTGAGAAAACATTGATCTCACTGGTTAAATGATTAACTAACTGACCTGGGAACTAGTTGTAGCTTTCTTTGTAATAGGCAATTACAGTTATTGCCTGTAACCAAAAATAATTAAACAAATGACAAGTACATTTTTTAAATTATAAGACAATGAGAAATAAGTTTAAACCCAATTTTCTAATTATAATTTAAAATTTATAGAGCATTTTTAACAGTAATTAATCCAGAGGTGGCTTAAATTGAGTATAAGAATTAAGATTATTTAAAATACTGCATGTCTACCTTCTCGGGGATTGTACTTTATAATACTTTCTGCTTCGGTAGTACTTCATAGCTTACCAAGTGTGCTCCCATATATTATTTTTTGTGCCTCACAAATGAAAGTCAGATAGGCTGGGAACTAATGGGACAGCCCTCAACCTTCAATGTGGGGTTCAAATCCAGTTTCCTGTAGTTCTATATGGTGCTACATCTTTCCAACAAATTTCCCTCAGAGCCCCTCACCAAAACAAAGTATTATTTTGACCCTGCATGCTATTTCTTTAGCTGTAGGTGATAGATTAGAACTTCTGTCAGACATATTAATGACAAGCATATCAATAGACAATAACCGCAAGTAAATGTTTCCTTCAAGTGTAAAATGTTGAGGGGCTGTGTGGGCAAGGATGTATTAGCATATGGTGTCCCAGCAATGTTGGAGGGTCAGCACCATTCCTTGTCTGACACTTGAGGACCTGAGAGACATCAGGTTTAAAATAAGCCAAAGAAATCCTACAAGATGGGGAGAATTGGTGTGCAGCAGCCTAAGCATTATAGTTAAGTCTAAGGAAGTATGAAAGATCCCATGTGTTCTCCAACCTGGGCAGAGGGGCCTGCGTACCAATATCACTTTTTAGGGGACTGAACCATTGCAGATTGGACTTGGCTTCCAAAGAATCTGCCTAAACCAGGGGTGGCAGGATAGGCCATCATGGCTGGATGGCCTCAAAAGAAGGGGGCAGACCCTCGTGATGCCAGGATTTGAAATGCAGAGTTTCTAGAGGCAGACCAGTGCTGCCTCACACAGTAGCAGTTTATTCTCTTTGCAAGAGGAGACTGTTCGCTTCCATAGATCAGGTGGGCAGATAGTTGAATCAGCCAGTTGAATCCTCTGTGCATGGTTTGATCCTTTACTGATTTACTCTAATATTTTTCTGTAGATCCTTTCATCCTGGACTCAGAATCTAATCCATGCATTGTATGATACCATGGCTCTCCCACGTTCAGAGTTTCCTTCAAAATGTTTTAGTTTTCTTCAACTAAATTTGATTTTTGCTGTTGGAAGTGACATACTTTTATGGTATACACTATGTTACTTTTTTCTTCTACAAATCAATTTTTTGAATTTTGGTGAGAAATAATATATCTACAAATTGCATGAAAGTATCATGAAAACAGCACTCTAGATTTTTTTTTTAACTCTAAGAATTGCCACTACATTAATGTAGTGGAGTGGAAGAGTGCCTAGAATCAGAAAACCCTGTTGAGGCTGAATTTAGCTATGTGACCTCAAGCAAGCCATTTAAACTCTCTGTGCCTCAGCTTCCTCATTTTTAAAAGAAGGTTTGATCTCTGTGTTTACTTGTAGCTCTGATTCTGGGATTCTGATCCACAGGACTTGGGCATTAGCATGGAACCTAGAACTGTGCTGTCCAGTGTGGTAGCCACTAGCCACATGTGGCTACTGAGCACTTGCAGTGTGGCTACTACAAAGTGAGGTGCTGTCAATGTAAGATACATACCAGATTTTGAAGACTAGTATTACCAAAAGAACATAAAATATCACATTAATAATTTTATATTAATTACATGTTCAAATGATATTTTGGATATACTGAATTAAATAAAACATTAAAATTCTACTTGTATCTTTTTACTTTTTTAATGTGGCTAGAAGAAAACTTAAAATTACACATGTGGCTCAGATTATATTTCTGTTGGACAGCGCTGCTCTAGAACATTATATTAAGTAGTAATTGAAGTAGACCAAAGTTTATACTATAAGGATATTTTTCTTTAAATACTGTGTTTAAAGAACAATTATTTATTGATCCTTGAATCTGTAAGATCATATAACTATGAGTCTCTATCCATGTTACTAAATTTAAACTTTTGAAAATAATAAACTTTAAAATATCAGATATTTTATTACAGGATGATACTTGGAATCAAATGAAATGAGTTATATGGTCATCATTATATTTGGAAATCTATTGTGAAACAGAAAGACAAACAGGAAAGTACAGAATAGAGACTTTTAGTAAATAAATGGAATTAAAAGGGAAGTGTTTATTTACAGTGTCCCAACAGGAAAGGATGTCTTTGTCATCATAGTCTTTGAGGGATCTCTGTAAAATGTGGGGCGCAGGTACAAGAAGTAGCCGATATTTAGTTACCAGACCATGTTTAGTAGTGTCCAGTTTCAGATCATGCTGCCAAGAGGTATCTGCCCATCAGGTAGGTCATCGCTGGGCTCTGGAATGGGAGACTCATACTTGCCCAGCACAGTGTTATGGGCAGAGAGGCTGACATCTAGGATTAGCTAGAAGCCATAAAGAAAAACTGCTAAGTGGCCACTAGGTGCCACTTTTCCATTTTTAGAATGTTTTGTTTTCATTAGCAGATCATTTTTTTCCAAGCTCCATGGGACCTATGAGAGGCATTTGTGATTTTTGTGCCTACGGTAAGTCTGCCTGTCTGATGTGAGTTGTTTTATGAGAAATGCTTTCCAAGGGAGGTCTAGGAAGATCCTGACACGTAAGAACTTTGGCATAGGGAGCTTTCCAGATACAGTGCCAGTAAAAACTGACCTGGAAAGAAAACCTGTCCAGCACAGAATATGCTTTCTGAACTCACTTGAGAATGTATGGTGTACGTCACTTCTCGTATATTCTTGAGTTTAGATTTGTCTTTTATACTTTTAGCTCTTTTCCATTTCATTTGCGCTTGCCTGTATATCGGTATTTTTAAAATAATGTGGTAAATAAGAGTGAAATTATATTTTATAATTACTCATTTGTAGTTTTTTTTTTTAATTTAATAAATTTCCTCCAAACATTGTGCCCTTAACTACTTTTTAATGTGGAAACCTAGATTAAGGAAACCATCCAGGGCCCTCGAACCACTGGGCAGAGGGGTTCATTGAACTCTGTTACTGTGTATGTTTCTCGGCATGTTCACCAGGGTGCACTAACTACTGTAACAACTGCAAAATCTCAGTGGTTTAACCAGTAAAGGTTTCCTTCCACTCACATCAGACTCCAACGTCATTAGCCTTATCTGTCCCTCTGACTCTCTCTCCCTCCCCTCCTGCCTCTTCCTCTTTCCATCTCTCAGCTTTGCTTTCCACTGAGCTGGTTTTATCTTCCTGTGGACCCTCTCCCCATGATGGCACTCAAAAGTTCCAAGCATATATTGTTCTTATACCTGACAATTTCAGTGGAAAGAGAGCCTCTTTTTCCTGGTAATTCACATGAAATGTGCATTGATTGATTGGGTCTCTGGATCAACTTGGTCTACGTGGACTTTCCGTAGTGTGATTGCAGTACCTACACTGATTCTAGGGAGTCGCCCATCATGGATTACAAGGTTCTGTTGTTCCTTCTGCAGATAACCCATTCCTCTCTCTGGCCCCAGGCTGTCTGGCTGTTGGCATCTGATGTCTTTTCCCCTTCAGGGATGCCTTTAAAGTTCATTTTAATTTATTTAATTGAAATTAAAATGTTAGAAAGGGAAGGCAAAATAAACAACAGATTCTTTCCAGGTCAGCAGGCTGGAATATACAGATTGGCCAGGCTTTGATACATGCCTAACCTTGGGTTGAAGGTTGGCAAGGCAGTCCTGTTGGAATCCCTTGAATAACATGGGGATCTCCCATGGGAATCTTCCAAAACATTGGACTCTCCTCTCCCCAGGTCTCCCACTGCCAACAGAAGAGGCTGTAAAAGGTGAAGAGGACACCTATTTAAGAGATTAGTATTACAGAAGTAGGATGGCAAGAACTTGAGGACCAATTGCATATCGGAAATGTTGAAGCAAAAGCAGTGAATAAGACTCAAGTCTCTGGCTCGGGGTTTTGGATTGCAGTGCTGTTCAAAAGGTAAGAGTTACATGAGGAGAGACAGCTTTGGGGTAGAAGGTGCATCAGTTCTAGACAAATTGTGTTCATCCAGGTGATGTCTAATAGACAGCTGGATATGTGAGTATGGAGGTTGGGAGGAAGTCTGAGATGGGCAGCACACTGAAGTTTTTGAGCCTCCGTTTCTTCATTTGTAAAGTAGACTTCATTTGTAAATACTCTGCAGAGTTTTAGTGAGGATTAAATTATCTTACATAAAGTGCTTATCACATTATCTGATGTAATTTTAGCAGTGATCATGATATGTTAATTTATAAGCTCTACAGTATGATAATAAATATTGGAGATTAGTGTTATAGAGAAGCATCATCATTGTTAGTAAAAAATTCCTGAGACTATATAGCAAACAAATATGTAATTAGTATAATGGTAATTTAAGCTTTGCAAAAGTTTAACCCAAATAACAGTAGAAATTCATAACCAATGGAAAAGCATAAGTACCTAAAGAACCCAATAAGGTAAGGTGTTTGGGAAGATGTATATCTGCGGCACAAAGAGGTAAATAATTTTGTTTGCTAAGACATCTATAAGGCATTTAAAAGAAAGTCGAATGGTTCCTAATAAATGATACCATTTGTTTCCATTTAAGCACTTACTTATCCTGTGCTATGCTCTTGGAGACAATTGAAAACACCACAGTCCCTGCTCTTAAGAGACCACAGTTTAGTAGAAAGACAGTAGAAAGCAGTAACTATAGAATATGATACCTGCTACCTTAAAGCGATGTACAGAGTACTAATAGAGTATGGGAAGATCAGGCTTTAACTTTGCTTGTGAAGAGTCCTCAAAATATGTTATACTCTGGCAGTTTATCCAGACCAATGGTTCTCAAATTTAATTGCATCCGAATTACCTGGACGACTTGTTAAAACACAGATTATGGGTCTCCTAACCCCCATTCTTTCTGATTCAGTTGGTCTGACTTGGAGCTTGAGAATTTGCATTTCCAATAAGTTGCCAGGTGATGCTGAGGTGTCTGGTCTGGGGACCACACTTTGAGAACTGCTGATCTTGCCATTCACAAACAGCAAATGGACGTGTCCAGAGATCTCTTATTCTAGGGCTGTTCTGAGGAAAGTGGAATAGGGTACGGAAGGCCTCAGAGTGGACAGAACCTACTGCTTATTTTGCCTTCTTTTTATAACATTTTAATTCTGATTAAATAAATTAAAATGAACTTTAAAGGCATCCTTGAAGGGGAAAAGACGTCAGAAATAACCAACAGCCAGATAGCCTGGGGCCAGAGGGAGGAAGGGGTTGTCTGCAGAAGGGACCATAGAACCTTGTAATCCATGATGGTTGACTCCCTAGAATTGGTGTTGGTACCGCAACCACACAATGACTCTACTTGCCCACTGCCAAGATAGAACCAATTTATCAAGATAGGGAAATTGCAATAAAGAGTTTAATGCACAGAGCCAGGTAAATGGGAGACTAGAGTTTTATTGTTCCTCAAATCAGCCATCCCCAAAATTTGGAGGTGAGCGTTTGGCAGGCAGAAGACTAGAGAATGGGGAATGCTGATTGGTCGTGTTGGGGATGAAATTCTAGGGGGTTGAAGCTCTTTTTTCTTGCTGTCTTCTTTTCCTGGGTGGGATTGCAGAACTAGTTGAGCCAGATTACCCTTTTGGGTGACACCAGCTGGTCCATCAGAATGCAGGGTCTCAGAAACATCTCTGAACACCAGTGTTAGGTTTTACAGTAGTGGTGTTATCCAGAGGAGCAACTGGGAGGTTAGGAATCTTGTGGCCTCTGGCTGCATTGACTCCTAAGCCATCATTTCTAATCTTGTAAATAATTTGTTAGTTTTACAAAAGCAGTCTGGTCCCCAGGCAAAGAGTGGCTTTGTTTCAGGGAGGGGTGGTTATCATCTTTGTTTCAAAGTTAAACTATAAACTAAATTCTTCCCAAAGTTCATTCAGCCTACACCAAGGAATGAATAAAGGCAGCTTACAAGTTAGAAGCAAGATGGAGGCAGTTGGGTCAGATTTCTTTCACTGCCATGATTTTCCTATGTCAGATTTTTCTCACTGTCATAATTTTTGCAAAGGCAGTTTCAGTATGTGAGCCTCAGTCATTTTGTTTGGGTGTTTTGGTTGTTTTTTTTTTGTTGAGGAGGGGAGGCAAGGCATAGGAAGCTGTGTCACCTTTTTAATCTTACTCTTGGCCACCTTTTTCTTTTTTTAATACTCAGCCACCAGTCACTGTGGAGGACTCTGTCCATTACCTAAGACATTGTGTATTGAGAGAGGCAATAAAGAATTGTCTTAAATTCCTGTCCAGCTGTGTGCCTCTGGCCTTGGAATTACAGTTTCTTAGGCACTCCTAGCTCTTGGCTGACTTTAAGGAAATGCTTTTCATATATATTTCTGTCCGGGAGGAAATCTGTTACATTTTACCGTGGGGGTAAATGTATCAAAACAAATTTACATTATTATTTTTTTTTTTTAGAAAACTACCCTAAAATGGGATGCCTAGGTTATATAAACTTAATGCTTAATAGAACCCTTGAAATTTTTATTTAATACTTTGTTGACTGAGCATAACCCAAAAGGCTTTCCATTTACCAGAAGGGACATGTAGACCAATATCACATAATTAGTTGATTGTTAAATTACTTGGGAGCCCATAAATGTTCAATTTGATTTAGCAAAGGTCAAGCAAAACACAGTTACAGTGTCTGAAATATCTGTTCTTTGGGCGGGGGGGGGAATGGACACATAGATTATATGTAAAATAATTTAAACTTACAGGAGTAAAAAATTACTATTCTATTTCTTTGTAGTAACATTTAGTAGAAGACTGTATTTTTAATTGTTTTTCTAATTGTAAAGAACTTTACATTCATTTTTGGAAAATTCAGGAATATATAAAGGTACTAAGAAGAAAATAAAAATGACCTATTAAAAAATTTTACCACCTAGTTAAGAACCGTAGTCAAAACTTGGATATTCTTTCTCTTTTTTCAAGGCCTTTATATCCTAATGACTCTTTTAAAGTTAGAATCCTACTGTTTATACAAAAAATAATAATAAAATTATACAAAGTAACACGTATATTAATTAAAAGTCAGATAGCATTTAAAGTCGTAAAGTTACAAAAACAAAAACATAGTTCCCACCTTAGCCCTAACTCTTGTTCTCCAGAGCAACCACTTGCACCTTTTGTTAGCTGATTATTGTATTTACAGTTATGTTTCTAAGTATGCTTTTATTATCACTTCATGATTGGTCCTGAATGTGTATAGAATAGAAAGCCAACAATTTATTTAAATATTTCTTTATTATGGAGCGTTTAGGATGTTGCAGAGTTTTACTATTATGGGTAATATGACAGTTGACATCCTTCTACACCTACAGGTACTATACCTCTTTCCTGTTGTGTAAGATGAATTTCTTGGAGTGTAATTGCCAGATTAAAATTGCCCAATTGCCATAAAGACAGTTTGCATTAAGCATTCTTTGCAGAGGTAATTTTATGTGGTTAAATATGTTGATTTTTCTTGCTTAATTTCATTGTTTGTTTTTATGCTAAGGAGGGAAAACGTCTCCACCCCAAGATCAAATAAACACACACCTGTTTTCTTTTAGATGTCCTGTGGTTTTGTAGTTTATATTAAAGTCTTTGATCTAGCTGAAGTTTATTTTGGCCTATAATAAGATACAGGAGTCTATTTTTCTTTCCAAAATATTACCCCTTTCTCCACAACTCTTCAGTGACTAGTCCTTTCTTTCCCCACTGATTTGAATGTTGCCACTACCATCAATTAAGTTATTGTATATTCTGGTACTTGTTTTGAAAGGCAGTAGTGGTGGTGGTGAGCAGGGAGTTGAATTAATCTGATCGTCTGTTCTTTTACCAGTACCAAACTGTTGTAAGTTAATAAACATAGTAGCATTTGATACTGATCTTTCTATTATGTGATAGTATATTACATTTTCTTCTCTTATTTTCTGAAAAGTGTTCAGAATATAAAATATATTTCTATATATTTGTTTATAAAATATAAGATAACAGAGGGAATAGTGGCTTTTTCTGACTTTAACATTTCCTTTAAAAATTTTTAATGTATCAGACTACCTATAAATCACTTCCATCAATGAGACAGGAGAATCACTTGAACCTGGGAGATTCCACTGTGTTAGAACCAAACTTTTAGGAACAGTTTGGCTGTGTTAGCATTCCTTTAAACTTTTGTTATATATAGAAATCTAAGTCCAACATGTTTATTCTTGGAACCATCTGCCAAATGCTACAATCTGAATTATCTTGCGTTGTTGAAGTTCTGAGGGAATAAGAATAAAATCAAATCTTTATTAAATGCTTACTGTGGCTGGCACAATTCCTAAGCCTATTACAAGTATTCATGTAAGCCTCCTAACAACTCTGAAGATAAATTTTGGTATTATTCCCCATTTTACACATAAGCAAACTGAGGCTTAAGAGTTAAGTAACTTGACAAGGTTATCCCAGTGCTCATAAGCACTGGAGTCAGAATCCAGACACAAGCAGCTTGTTGTGTGCTGTCAACCGTGATTTTGAAAAACCTTTAATTTATTGTGTGCTCTCAGGGTTCCCAACCCCCTGAAATTGCACAGCAATTTCTTTTACAAAAGATATTTAATTGTGAAAAATCACACAAAATTTACTATCTTTTGTTTTTATCGTTATTTTATGACAGCTCTGTTGCCCAGGCTAGAGTGCAGTGGTACCATCTCAGCTTCCTGCAACCTCCACCTCCCAAGTTTAAGCTGTTCTGCCTCAGCCTCCCTAGTAGCTGGGATTACAGGTGTGCATCACCATGGCTGGCTAATTTTTAAAATTTTTAGTAGAGATGGGGTTTTAACATGTTGGCCAGGCTGGTCTTGAACTCCTGACCTCATGTGATCCAGCCTCCCAAAGTGCTGGGGTTACAGGTGTGAACTACTGCCGCCAGCCTAAATTTGCTACCTTAATACTAC